GTGCCACCTCCAAAACTGTGAAACACAAGGAATCCCTGGAGTCCTGTGCACTGGTCAGCCTGCAGAGAGAGATGCACAAGATTTCCTGAGACGCATTTCTTTGTGAAGGCCTGACTATCCAGAAGTCCCTTCAGGACCTGGTCCATCCCTGCATTGGGCAGCTGCAGATTCCTCCCAGGGTGCAGCAGGGCTTGCAGTGTGCTCTGAGCCCCAGCAGGATGTTGGATCCCACCAGTCAGGGGGACAAGTCCCCTCTCTGCAGTCACTTACCAGCTTCCGGATCCTGTCCAGCACTTGGTCAATGATCTCTTTGCCAATAGTGTAGTGCCCACGGGCATAGTTGTTGGCAGCATCCTCCTTGCCAGTGATCAGCTGCTCAGGGTGGAAGAGCTGGCGGTACACTCCTCCCCGAACCTCATCTAGGAGAGAAGAGGGGCAGGTTGAGCCCGGTGGAGGCAGTTAGTTTGAGCCGGCCGCCAAGCAGAGTGGGTGCCAGCAGCCATCCCTCACCTTGGCTCCGCCTGCCACTGCCATGGCCAAGGACCCACACGTCAGCAAGGCCAACACCAGCATCAGGTTTCTCTGGCAGCAGGAGGTGGCTGCCACCTCCCTGTGCAGCTCAGCTTCTCCCACCCATCCGGAGCTCCCTGCCCCCAAGCACAGCAGGAGCTGCCTTGCCGGTTGGGCTGGTTTCTCTCTGCGCACATGTGGTACAAGCACCGCTGCCTCTAGGACACTTCAAGAACAAAAGCAGGTGCTCAGGTTTGTGGCTTCTCCTGGGGAAAAAGAAGGGCCCTCGGGTTGAACCCAGTGCAAGATATTGTCAGCAGAGCACAAGCACCACACACCTGCTGCCTGCTACCCACCCATGGGGGCACCCCAGGCCATGTGATCTCCACTACTCACCAATCACAGTGGGCTCCAGGTCCACAAAGATGGCCCGCGGGACGTGCTTCCCAGCTCCGGTCTCACAGAAGAAGGTGGTGAAGGAGTCATCCCCTCCGCCAATGGTTTTGTCACTGGGCATCTGCCCATCGGGCTGGATGCCGTGCTCCAGGCAGTACAGCTCCCAGCAGGTGTTGCCCATCTGGACGCCAGCCTGGCCGACGTGGACGGAGATGCACTCGCGCTGGGGAGGGGGAGGCAGGGTCAGATCCTGGCACAGCTCTGTTCTGCCTGCCCCAGGGAGCGCTCTGCCTGGTGCCAGTGCCACAGAGTCACCCACACATGACTTGCTCTGGTTAGCGACCCTCAAGAGCATGTTTTCCTTTGGGTGACCTCCTGTGTGCCCCTGAGGAGCCCTCAGCCATGCACAGACACTTGCTGGGTCGAGAGCCAGCTCTGGCATCCCTCTTGCCCTGCCCTTGCTGGCGGCCACTAGCACAACAGACTCTGGCCAGGCTTGTCCTCCAGCAGCATGGGGAGCAGAGCCTGGTCCAGCTTTCCTGCCCCAGCCACTTTGCCAGGGTCCCTGGCAGACCCAGCCCCTTCCCCTTGCCACAGCAGTCCAATAAGGGGCTGAGTTGACAGGGGCACACATTTAACCCATGAGGGGCAACTAGCATGGGGGACTGCCATGGGGGACTGCAGGCAGGGCAACTGCCCTGCCTGCTGCTCCAGAGCCAGATAAGCCCTCAGTTTCCTGGGGTGAGTGGCCTTGGAGATGCAAGGGTGGTGGGTGGCAGCCAGGTGAGGGCTGGCAGCAAAGTCCAGCAGTTTCTGAGGCAGCATACAGACTCCCTAGGCTACACAGTCCCAACACTGTGCTGCAAAACCTGTGTCGGCAGAAGTGCTGGGGAGCAGGCTGTGAGCTGGAGGTGTACCTTGTGCACTCCCATACATTAAGTTTAGGCCTGCTCTGCTACCCCGGCATCCCTCCTCTGCTGCCCCTGGCACCCTTGGTCCCCTATCCCTGGCAACCCACCTCTGCTAGTACTAGCATCCCTGTTTCATGACTCCCAGCATCCCCGCTTCCCCTGGCGGGACACCTCGACTCAGCCTGGGCATCCTGGAGGATTTTCCTCCTGCATTCCCCAACTGCACAGTGCCCTGAGCTATGATGGGGTCCGTGCCTCGGTTCAGCGCCAGAGCAGGACAAGGGCTCCTGCCTCCTGCGGGAGGGCCAGAGGCAGCCCCAGCCGCCGGGAGGAAGGGAGGGCAGTCCTGGGCAGGGTCCCCAGCAGAGCCCCCGGCAGAGCCCGGTCAGCACTGCGGCGGGGAGGGCAGGACGCTGCACCTCCTGGCACGGCCCTGGCCCACTCCTGAGCCGCTAAATATAGACAGCCCCGGCCTCGGGCGAGGGCAGCGGCGACTGCCCGCTTCGGAGAGCGGCCCCGGCCCTCTCTGCCGCTGCCATACCCCCGCGGGACGGGACTGGAGGGACGAGACCCCCACAACCGCGCCCCGCCACCAGCCCCGACGGGGCGTCCGCTGCCGTGGGGGGAGCCCTGCCGAGCGCCCAGCTCCGGCCCCCGGAGCCTGGCTGGCGCCTCCACCCCCAGCAGCTGTCCCCGTCCGTCCCCCGCCACCGCTCCCCACCGGAGAGGTCACCCCCCTCCATCCCCAGGGCCCTCCCCGCTGCGGCAGCGGGGGGGAGGGCAGGCACCCCGGCATCGGCGGCGGGGGGAGCGGGCGAGGGGGCTCGGCTGCCCCCGGGCAGGGGCCGGCAGAGCTGCCAAGGTCACGGCGGGGAAGGAGGGGGCGCGTCGCGGCCGCTCCGCCGGGCACGGTGCCGCGGGGGCGCTGCAGGGGCATCGCCGGGGGGCTGCCGGGCACCCTCCCCACCGCCGTGCCCGCCGCCGTGCCCGCCGCCGGCCCACACTCACCATGTTGCGGCGGGGGGTGCGGGCTGTCCCGATTGCTCGGTGCTGCGGGGCTCGGCGCTGAGCTGCGGCTGCTGCAATCCCCGCCGCAGCGCTGTCTTATAGGGGGGAGGGGCTTGCTGCCGCCACGCCCCCTTATTTTGGGTACGCTTGCATGTGAGGGGGGAGTACCCACTTCGGGGTCCGTGGGAACCTGGCGGGGTCTTTCCAGTTGCGGAGGAACTCCAAGGTGCGGGGCCGGGGCTGCTCCCCCTTCTCTGCCGGGAGGGAAGCGGGGACACCCGGCCAGGCTGCGGGCAGAAGACTTGGGCACCAACCCCCAGGGGTGACTGGCGGTGCTCACCCACCAGCACTGGAACCCGAGCAGGTAGAGCAGCCCCTAACCTGCTCTGTCACCAGCTTCCCCCTGAGACATGGGGACACCCCGAGACCGCTTGGGCCTCTAGAACAGGAGAAATAAGGAGAAACATGATACAGACACACATCAGACTCTGGAGCCCAGGGTACCCCCAAACCTCCCTTTGCCATCAATACTCTGGAAGCCTCCAGCCAAGGTTTGCCTTTCTCTCCCGGTAGGGACAAACAGTCAGTTCTGCACAACCCTGTGAGGCTGCAGATCTGCATGACAAATCTGGGCTGCCAAAAAAGGGTCATTGCAGACCGCTTGCTGTTAATAACTTGTGACTACATTCAGAGCAGCAGCTCTGTTTGAGCCCTGGCCAGCACAACCACCCCTTCCAGGGCCAGGGATGATCCTGCTGCTGAGGATGCCTGGACCACCAGCCTTGCATGCTGTCTGCCAGGGCCTGGGCTCACATAGCTATCCCTCCTTGGACATGAGGATTGCTGGGGCTCTGCTGCTCAGCAGCATGCCAGAAGTAGCACAGCAGGGACACTGCTGTGTCCCTCAGGGTCCAGATCAGAGGTGCGGGATAACTTTTAGAAAATAGTAGTAGGACACAATTCCAATTCCTTCATCCTTTTGGTCGCAGAATCAGATCTCTGTGAATACCCAGGGAGGTATCTGTGGTGGAATTACTCCTGGAGGAGCAGGTTCCTTCCTTTCCCCACATTCAGACCTCAGTAAAGAGTAGATCAGAGCAGCACCTGGTGTGAGGGGCAGCAACTCCTGCCCTGGCACAGCAGCAGGCACCACTCAGTCTGAGTCCAGTGCTCTGGTCACAGACGTGCAGAGCAATGCCAGCAGCCCTGCACAGTGGGATGAGTGCCTGGCTGCGCTCCAGCAGCTGGGGGTGGCTCCCACTCCCCCTCCAGCTGACACGGGTGCATGTCGGGAGGAGAAGGGCAGGGGAGGACAGCCCCCGTGGGTCAATATAGCTGTAGCATTAGTGGTAAGCAGGGAAAATTAATCTCTGGAACCAGCACGCTGGATAATGGGTAACAGAAATCTCCAGTTTGCAGCTGGAGCCAGGAGCTGATGCTGGGACTACTCACCAACAGGCAGGGCAGTGAGAGTCAGAATGGGGACAATGCAGAAGATGATCTGGGGCAGGTAGAGTGGGGCCCCAGGAGGATGGCAGAGCACAGGCAGAGCAGGGCAGATAGAGGTAATCCCAGGCAGAAGACCCCATGGCTGAGCTAGGTGCTTCTCCTATCACATCAACAGCACTCTTCTGGATCCCTTTGATGGACATGCTTGGGCACTGGCCCAGAGCCTGCCACGTGTCCTGGCTATATCCCTCTGGTATGGGGCACTTCCTTATGTGGGGAGGCAGAGCTGGAGCAGAGCACTGGGAGGAAGCATAGCAGCACCAGTACCAGGGCTGAAGCACTCCACACACACCTGACCTGGCAAGAAACCGATACAGCTGGGGGGATAGTGGGAGACACAGAGGCTCTGAAACGGTTTATTGCAAAGGGTTTCTGCAGGTAACATTGGGAAGGAGCATGGTCCTTTCGGGCTGAGGCTTCTCTACTCCTCACCCTCCTCTTCATCCTCGTAGGAGTCCAGGCCCACCTCCTCGTAATCCTTCTCCAGAGCAGCCATGTCTTCCCGTGCCTCAGAGAACTCCCCTTCCTCCATGCCCTCGCCCACGTACCAGTGCACAAAGGCGCGCTTGGCGTACATCAGGTCGAACTTGTGGTCCAGGCGAGCCCAGGCCTCAGCGATGGCCGTGGTGTTGCTCAGCATGCAGACGGCGCGCTGCACCTTGGCCAGGTCACCCCCCGGCACCACCGTGGGCGGCTGGTAGTTGATGCCCACCTTGAAGCCCGTGGGGCACCAGTCCACAAACTGGATGCTGCGCTTGGTCTTGATGGTGGCAATGGCGGCATTGACGTCCTTGGGCACCACGTCCCCGCGGTACAGCAGGCAGCAGGCCATGTACTTGCCATGGCGAGGGTCACACTTCACCATCTGGTTGGCTGGCTCAAAGCAGGAGTTGGTGATCTCAGCCACTGACAGCTGCTCATGATAAGCTCTCTCAGCTGAAACCACAGGGGCATAGGTGGCCAGGGGGAAGTGGATGCGAGGGTAGGGCACCAGGTTGGTCTGGAACTCGGTCAGATCAACATTCAGGGCTCCATCGAACCTCAGTGACGCTGTGATGGATGAGACAACCTGACTGATGAGTCTGTTCAAGTTGGTGTAGGTTGGGCGCTCGATGTCCAGGTTCCTGCGGCAGATGTCATAGATGGCCTCGTTGTCCACCATGAAAGCACAGTCTGAGTGCTCCA